ACTACTGCAAACATATGTATATGTATATATATAGGCACACACTCATATGCACATGCCACTTGCAGGGAGAATAGCATGAGCACATGGAGAAATGAATGCACTTGGACAGCAAGGTTAACAGATACCTTACAACTCCTATTCTGCTCCAGATTCAAAATTCAGGTTTCCTCAAACGTGTCCTCAATAGGGTTCATCTCTTTGCCTGGGTGACACGTTGTCACGTATGTCACTAGAGAGCTCCACTCGGTGCAAGGGTTCAGCTGGAGTAGAGCAAAGGCCAAATTCAAGATCTGAAACCGGTGGAGATTATCTTTCGCACTGCATAAAGTGCACCTCTGGGATTTTCAGTTCTCCTTCTCTGCAGCCTTTCACGCAGGACCGTGGCAGAGGAGCTGAAAAATAAAGTACTTTTTTTTTTTCTTTTTTTTTAAAACAAAAAAAACCCTCCCAACTTGCCCAGCTTCCCAACTGTGGCTTTGGAGATACTCACTGAGGCTGTGGTTAGCGTTTCCCAGGCTGCCCTAGAGGTGAGCGCGAGTTCAGCCCCCGGCTGCCGCTCTGCTCTTTGCTGGCGACTCACAGTGACTCTGGTAGGGGACGGTGACAAATGGACCTGGTGACAAACGGCCCCAGGCATGGACACGTGCAGAACCCAAGGAGTTATCGAGTGCTTGAAATTAAGGACTCACCAAAGAACCATCGATGGGTTCATTCCAGAACTGTGCAGGGTCAGCGAGTTGGTTTCCTCCTTTATACGCAAGTTTTGCATTTCAGGGCCAGGCAGGTCCCTCTTCACCTCGACGTGAGGAGCTACAAGGGGCTCCTGGCAAAGGAGGGCTCCATGATCGTGCCTTGACCCCCTTCCTTCAAACCCACGAGCGTTTCCTCTCCCAAACTTGGGGTTTTGCCTCAGCCCCGTTACAGTGCATTGCTGGGACTGAGGTGGGGGAGCCGCGTTTGTCCAAACATCCCTGCGCTGTGGGTTGATCCTCATGGTTTATTTGCATGTAAACACCAGCAGCAGAGACATAAACACTGTGGTGGGCGAGCTCGGCTGCTGCTGTAACCTCCTGTGCCCCGCCGTCTGCCAGGAGATGGCAGCTGTTCTGGGAGTGCTGGAAAATGCACGTTTCCAGCAGGAAAATGCACGTTTCCAGCAGGAAAACGGACTCTGCAGCCCATACTTCACTTTTCCCATTGCACCTTTTGCATGTGAGGAAGCGCGAGTCCGAGCTGACTGCAGCCCCAGCACCCCCGTTGTTGCCATTCCCGTGGGATGTGGGTCTCCACTCCGACTCACCCTCATGCAGGGGAACCCGGCACGCACGGAAGTGCCTGGATGCGAAACCCACTGAGAAGCTTCCCGGCCGCTTCCCTTTTCCCATGGGTAGCCCTTACTTTGCTTCTCCTTCCCTAACGTGGCTCTAGCAGGGGCTTCTAGCACAGCTGCAAACTTTGGATCTCATCACTGGCACCACCTGGGCCCTAACATTGTTGTGGCCCCTTCTGGTTTAATTGCACCTTGGGAGGGCAGTAAATAAACAACAAGGAAAGGGTAGAGCAGCTCCTATGCTATGGGTTGGGTGCTAGCAGTTCTCCTGCTGGCAGGAGCGGGAGCATTGCTGGAGCGCATCTCTAGCTCCCAGGGAAGGTTGTGTTTTAAGAAAAAATGAATTTGTTGTTGTTGTTCTTTTCCATAGGTTTTGGCCATCCCTCAAGCAGGGCTGATGATGCCGTGCAGGGCGCACGGGTGCGAGCGGTGAGGCTGTGAGTGCCTCCCTGAGCCACCCGTTCTGGTTGCCCTTGCTCCTTTGCAAACGTCCCCGCTCACTGCTGGTGACACTGCACGTTCACATGTGTGCAAGGAGCAGCTCCGTGTGCAGCACGGCCGGCTGGGGCTCTCTGGCTCTTTGTCCTGCACCGGGATGGCCTTGTTGAGGAAATTGTAATAGCTTTGGTGAATAGCCTCAAGGCCGAGAGAGCGCCCATGTGGGCACAGGTTTCTAGGCTTGCCTGCAACAGCACCTGCGAGCATTAAATGAGCAGGGAAGCAGGGAAACATCTGTTCGGGTGTTTCTTGGCTTGTCAGGGAAGGAGTTTTCTCGGTTTGGGAGCTGGGGCAGCTGCAGGTGCCTCCCACAGCTCAGGGTGATGCCTCCGTGGGGTCTGTGCTGGCGGGCCTGGGCAGCAGAGCAGGAGGACCCCGCTGTGCCGCCTGCCGCGGCGATGGGGGATGCAGGGCAGGATGGAGCCGGGCAGGCTCCGCGCGGAGTGGGGTATCGAGGCAAGCAGCCTCCTGGGAGCCCAGATAGCGCCTTATCCGGCGCTCGCAGGCACCCTGGCTCGGCAGCCGCCGCCGAGAGACCCGGCGGAGGCAGCTGGGACGCTGCCCGGCTCCTCCAGCCTTCGCCGACGCCGGGACATGCCTGAGCGCGCCCGAACCGCAGGCAGGACGTGAGCGCCGTTTGCCCCCGCGCCGACGGTTGCTCCGGGGCGCGCAGTATTTCATGCTGACACCTCGAGCAGGAAGCGGCGGTTTGCTCGGTGCAGGAGCGGGCGAGCGCAGCGGTGGCCCTGCCGCAAGCCTGTGCCCTGCACCGGAGCCCCACGCATGCAAGTGCCCCATGCAATGCCTCTAAGCAGGGAGTCGAGTGAGCAAATTCCACATCCAAGTGGGCAGTAGGTATCCAGGAGCATCCCCCTGCCCATCCCTGCTGCCCAGACTGGAGGATATAGCCCAGGGTAGGCTGAGTCTGTCCAAATCAGTGCAGAGTCTTGGGTTGCCTTCCTCACCAGCTGGAGATAGGCTAGGAAAGGGTCGCTTCAGTGACAACCCCTTAATTAAAGTGACAAGTTGAATGGGCCAGAAGGGCTTGCAAGAAGTGAAGCAGCAGCAAGGGCAGAGCTGTGCGACCACGAGCAAGTGTGTGCTTGTACCCTTGGCTCGGCGATGGTGAATAGCAGCACTGATGACTTGGGCTTGCTACTGCCCGGCTCTTTTATCCTTTTCTGTTTGTTTGTTTAAACATCTCCCAAACCTGCAGGGCTCTGCTCCACATGGCCACCCAGCTCCCTCCTGCAAAGCCACCTGCCCATCGGGACAGGTTGCACCACAGAGTGGAACCTGCTGGGAAAGTGGCGCTTTCTGCTAAGGTGGCTCTGCAAAACCAGCCCTTTGGATTCCCCTTGCAGTCCCGTGCCGTCATGGAGTGTGTTGGAAACTCTGGCAAAGTGCCACGTCTGTGGATGCCTCCCTGGATGCTCCTCCGTAGAAATAATGCGTCGCCCCATCCCGTGCAACTCCTGCATGGCCCCAGACCTGTCCCTTTGAGGAAGGTCAGAGCTGGAGCCCTCACAAGGCAGCAGTTGCCCTTGTGAGCTGCTTGCTCGCCGCCTGTGTGCGCTTCACCTTTGCCCTGTGAGCATAAAAGCCGCGCTCTCTTCTGCAGCAATAAATTGCTACCTTTGGCCCTCACAGCCCTGACCTCATCTCTGGGGACTACCTGGAAATGCAGCCCGTTATCAGGCTCCCATCGACACCGCAAATAAAGGCACCCTGTGGATTGCAGGCGCTGCCCGCCACAAGCGGCGCGCGGGCAAAGCTCATGCGAGCGCGCGGGGAGTTGGGCAGGGAACTGGAGAGTGTGAGCGCCCATGGCACACAGCGCATGGAAGGGCATTTATTTTGGACCAAAAACAAGCTTTTATTTTATAGGCAAAGGGGTTTGAGCTGCTATTAGCGGCTCTAAAAGGATTTTAATTGTTGCAGTATGGGAAACCATGGCATTGCAGAGGGCATCTCACTGCCTGGGCATGGAGCCACAGGGGCTCCTGCAAGTTGCTGTGGGGTGTTTGCAGTCACAGGATTGTTCCTGCTGCTGCCATCTGGTTTTCAGCAGATTTTGGTCCTCATTGCGTCATAAATAACCAAGAGGTCTTTTGGCCATGCACTTGGAAGGTTTAACATCCCTGAATAAGCTGAATGGGGCAACCACAGCAGAACTGAGCTGTGTTCCAGAGGGAGGGCAAAGCACCTCTAAAACCTCCAAGCCCATGAAAAGCTGGATCGGGATGGGCAACTTTGGGGGCATCCAACTTCAAGGCTTGGCAGGGATTTTCCCTGGCAGCCCCTTGCACATGGCATCCCCCTGGGACCTGGTGCTCCTCCCAGGCAAAACAGTAGAGACAGCTCGTATATAAAACATTTATTAACACAAATATACATAATTTTATATACAAAAATAAAATGTACAAGAAAATAATCTATTACAACTTAATAATCTGGTTCCTACGTATTACGCATAACCTATTACTTTGCGCTGTGCCCACCACGGGTCTGGCGACACAGCCTATAAATAAAGTACTCTGCTCCTATCAGTGCAAACTTGATGCTGCAGCTCCTCACGTATTATGTGGGAAGAGAAATATGCGAGGCCTACAAGCAGGATAACAACTTGGAAGTGGAGCTCCAGAATATGTATGCAATATGGAAGCAAAAGCCTAAACTGAATCTTCACATTTCACTGGTCTAAACCTATTTACATAAGATCTCAACTGAAGATGGACTATGTGGTGCTGGAGCATGTTAAGGAAGAGAGGGTCATTAGTGCAATTCCTGTTGACTCTTAAGAGCGTCACGGCAGCCCCGAAGCTCGTGGCTGCACCAGTGTTGCACAGGTAAGCAGCAACCAGAACGAACGTGTCCGCGACTCCCTCGCGGCCCCGGCTCGCTTCAGCAGCTTCACTCCCAGCGAGGGGTTCACAGCAGAGGCGGCCACCACGTACGTGCATTTTCAGTGCAAAGAGCGCTGCTAACGTGATGCATTCCCCCCAGCTTTTTTTTTTTTTTTTAAAGAACGAAAAAAAGGTTTTCTTACTAAATTGTTTCAAACGTAAGAGTTAAACGGAATAGAAAAACTAGTTTCTGCTTCCAGTCAGTAACAACCAACTTCTTCCATCCTCTTCCTCCAGGCCCGGGTGCGGAGGAGCATGCGCAGGGTCTACAAGCCACAGGAGATGGCCTGCAGCGGGGGCCGCACCGTCTCCAGCCAGGAGAAGTCCAGGCTGCTCTTCTGCTCGAAGAATCGGAACTCGAGCTCTCCTGGAGGAGACAGAGGCAACATGAGCACCGTGGCACGCAGCAGGAGCGACACAGCCCCGAGATTTCCACAAAATCCGGCTTCCTGCCCTTCCTCCAGGGCTGAGGAAACAGGTTAGCACTTTGCTAAAATACTTTCCATTACGACCATCCTACTTCTAAGCTATTGGTAGAGGAAACACTTCAGTTAGTTATGTTAGCAGGTGCTGCCATAAGCTGATGTAGCTTAAAAGTCTATAACCTTGAGCCAAATCTGCAGCTTGCTCTTTCTGGGGTATATATCTTTTCTGTAAATTATATATTATTATTATTATTATATGTGTGTGTGTGTGTATATTTATTTATTTATTTTAGATCTCAAAGCCTTCCTTAGAATCTTCCACCAGGCTAGTTACGAATATGGAGACCCAGGAACATAGCAATTCCTTGATATGCTCTTCTCCTTCCCCACGGCACCCTGCATGCAGACCCTGCTCCGTGCCACCTGCCACCATTCCCAGCCCCGGGGTCTGCACCTGACGTGGTGTCGATCTCGGCATCCTGCTCCTTGTAGACGAAGGTGCCGGGGCCGCTCTGTGAGCCGGGCTCGTTGGTGAGGTAGCCTTTGCCCCCGACGCTGGTCGCGTGCCACTCCGGCGCCGGCTCCAGCAGCTGCAAGAACACAAAGAGATGAAGCTGAAGCCCCTTCCCTAAGGACATGCTGCTAGAGCCCCTTCCAAGGAGGCAGTAGCCATCTCAGAGGGATGATGTGATGTGTCTGGACACACACACGTGAAAGGCAGAAGGACAGACAGACTCTTTCTAGAGAGCAGGAGTCTCTGCTGACTCTGGTAGATCCCCTCTGTTTCTAGCAGCACCGAACAGCTTCCTCTGACTCTCATAAAAATAGCCAATACTTCTGTGCATCACTCTAGCTCACGCCTGCAAAGTGGCCTCCCTCCATTTAATTTCTTTCAAGTTTCCTCATTACACAGCTACTGCAGTCCAAGCCCTGGGCCAGGTGAGCAGAAGATCAGCTAATAACTTTTATTCCGTTCTCATTGCAAGCCACCAACTCCAGTCTCAACAGAAGAGCCAATTTTACCTTGAAAATCTCCGACTTCATTTCTTCTTCATCTTCGTCCGTGACTGCTAAGTACATAAAAAAGGAGAAAAAAACAGGTAAATATTTTAACTTTTCTTACTAAGCTACCTCTCATGCATCTCATTTATCACCACAACTTACCTCACCCCATTTTCTCTCTTTCTCCTAAATAACTGTTCAGATTTGGCATGTACCTTGGTCGCTGCCTATTAGAGTTCATCTCAACCCTTGGGAAGTTTCCCTTGACCTATGTAGGGCTATCCCTAGTGGGGCTGTCCCCTGTGCACCCAATGTGGCTCCCTGGCGGGACATTTCCTCTCCCAGCACGTTGGCCTGCCTGTGCTACCACGTTGGGATGTGGAGATGAAGCTGCTTTATGAGCTGGCCACAAGGCCTTGGGCACATCAGCAGTGACTTGAGCAAGTCCTCGCTGCTGTGACCTGGCCACAGCCTGGTGGTTCCACTAACCCAAAGCCACCAGGTGAAGGTGGGTTTTCCTACAAGAAAATCCTCGTTTTTGCAACAAACAGGCTCGCTCACCCTCTCGCCTTGCCTGCAAGCTTGCTAGAGCATGAGGACAGACCGGGGCAAAGAAAGCACCAACCTTCTGAGGACGAAGCCAGGGGGGACACCTGGAGCTGGTAGAGGTCGTTGGTGCTGTCGGCCATGGCAATTTCCATGGGCGTCCTCCACTCAGTGAGCGAGCAGTTCACCTCGCAGGGCGAGAGGTCTGCGGGGACAGCGGGCTCAGCACAGGCCACCCCATCTCCCCGTGTCCACCCACCCCAACAGCACTTCCCACGGGACGGCGAGCTGGATCGGTGCTCACCTAGGGTGATGGAGGTGCTCTCCTCCACCTCCTGGCCCGTGTAGCCATGCACAGTGTAAGCGCTGTGGTCGTCCGGCAGAGCGGTGTTCGTTAGTCTTTCCACCGACTCCTCCGTCTTCAGGTCTTCATACGACTACAAAAATAAGGGCAGAGTATGAGGCTTCTCAAAGAGTGTAAGAGTTCCCACATGAAAAAACAGTCAGCAAGAGAAACCACCAAAACCTCTAGCCTCTTCAGCTGCCTCTACAAGGACGTACCTTTCTCTTGCTCCTGTTTCTCGCTTCTCTTGATGACTTTGACTTCCTCTCTGTTAAATAAAAATAAGAACAATGTGAGAAAGGAAGGGCTTCACAGCCAACATTTTAGGTGACCGTGAAGCACCACAGACCCAAGTGCGGTCCTGCTGGGCCAGCTTTGCTGCTGGTGCCTGCAGAAGGGGATCCTGCTCACTTCTGGAGGATCCCTGCTAGGACTGTCTTAGGAATTTGGGATAAAATGCAGTGTTGCACAAACTATACATGTGCAAAGTGTGACTGAGAACGGTCACAGGTGACAAACCCCTGTGACAGCTCTGTTGCACTGCAGCACAAGTGGGGCAGGAAGCTCAAGCTGTGCTTGAGGTACAGCCGCGGAGCCAATTCCCGCGCGCTCACCTTTCTTCTGGTCCTTGGTGAGGGGCGGCAGCATTCGGTACACCCTGACTGCGCTGGAGCCCTTGTTGATGCTCTTGTCCTTCACCTCCTCGATGTCGGGCAAGGAGTTCATGGCGCAGCGGAAATTGGCCTTCCACGTCTTGGGGTCGGGGTCCTTCTCCCCAATCTTGTATCTTCCTACAAATAAGCAATGGTGTGAGCACACAGACTGCTGATTGCAAGGGTAGTTCTTCCCACAAGGAAATAACTCCTTTTTTTCTTTTTTTTCCCCCTATTTTTCTCTTCTTGAAGTTGCCATGACTCCGGAGCTGCACGTGAAGGCCGAGCAAGGTGCCTTCCGCGAGGGATTGCCCAGCAAGGCCGCCACGTACCTGTGTGGATGGCCCAGCTCCGGAATAGGCAGGCGTCCTTCTCCATGTCCCAGCCGTGCTTGGCTGCATGTTTCCACGGGATCTGGAACATCCTCTTGTCCTAAGGGAAGGCAACAGGGGCTTGAATTAAAAAGGGAGGTTCATCACCAGCCAGTTTGCAATTATGCATTTAATCAAAGACTGCTCAGGAGCAGCACAGGGGCTTGCTTATCCCACTGCCCTCATCTTCATTTAACATCCATTTGTCTCATTTCTTTTCTTTGGTGCAAAGAGGTTTTCCCTGAGTTCTGGAACCGAGAAAGCCACACAATTTACAGCAGAAATCAGAAATACTGTCAATTTTATCTAAGGATCCTTTGGCTAGGCTGCCTCTTGTCTATCAGTGGATCAGACGCTACAGCAGGTTTTCTAGGTACACTTTGGTGGAGAATCCCTGTGGGAGTCACCTGGAAGGAGCTGCCTGCGTGCTCGGAGAAGCGCGTCCCAGCTCAGATATCGCCCTTAGATGCATGCCAAAACTCCAGCAAAAAGCCCTGGCTCAGCAAAGCTACTGCCCAGGCCTTGGGGCTGCACCTCGCAGGGAGACATGGTCCCTTTTAGGGGACCTTACAGTTTAATTGGGGAAGAGGGAGGGTGAGAATCGCTGCTGCACTGGGACAGGAGGTGACTTGGCTCCAGCAGGCCCCGAAGCGCAGAGGCCTTGAACTTTTGCAGCTTTTCGGTCACGTTCAAGGCGCTTTTGTTTAAATTTGTCATTTCCCTCCTGGGGATTTCCAGAGGAAAAGATTGGAGCAACCCAGCTCTGCAACCAATCAGAGCGACCTCTTCTGAAAACAAAAATACTTTTTTTTTTGTTTTGTTAACATGACGCATGCAAATTTTCTCCGTTTTCTTTTCCTTTATGTGATCTTGAGTTATATTTAGGGGCAGCTAAGCCTGAGGGTGGGTAATGCCACAGGAGCAGTACAAGAAGCCCCTCACCTTGTTGATCCATATCAGCCCAGGGATTTGATTGGAGTTAATCTGCATTTCCAGCCAGGGCCTCATGCGCATCCTTGACACGGGCATGTTGTCTAGGAAGGAAAGCACCGTTCAGCAACAGGCGCTGGCTCGGAGCGCGCGGCACGGCGCTCTCGCCCTCCCGCTTCGCTTCCTGTTTTTGTTTTTTTGCCAGACGGACGCACCCGGATTTCCCACACAATAGCGCGGCGCTGGGGAGGGAGCCGCG